CTCCTGGATTAGGTAGATAGTATTATTTGCATTTTACAGATGAGGAAGCTGTTGTTCAGGGAGGATCCCTGAGCTACTCAAGACTGTGAGGCTCATAAGGGAGGAGCTAGGACTTGGTCCCAAGCAGACTTGCACTCTTACCACAAAATCATGCTATCTCTGGTTTGAGCCTTATCCCAGGTTTGAGCCTTGTCGAGCCCCGGGACTGGGGGAACCTGGACCCATCCCTGGGAAGCTGGATCCCTAAAAAGGGGTCAGGGTGGCTTTGACCAGTGGAGCTCCTCATGGTCCTTGAAAGTGAGGCTCTTTAGAGTGCCAGACATTTGCGGGGGGGCGGGGGCTCTCAGTGCAAAAACTAGGGGCAGCGCTGGGGGAGTGGGGGTTTCCACGGTGAGCTTCCTGGTCTCTGTGTGGGGCAGTGGGCTGCAGGCGTCCCTCAGAGGGAGGCTCTCTGGGACCTCGTGCTGGACACAAGAGCTCAGTGGAGACATCGGGACACAGGAAAGGGCAGCTGTGGGCTTGGTCCTGGGAGCTCAGACTAGCTTCCTTCCTTTTGGGCTTACGTCCTTTTCTATCATCAGAGACAAAGGCTGAGAAACAATCTCGAGGACCTTTTATTTCTGTTGGGTGGAATTCACACCTGAGGGCTGGGGAAGAGAGGCACCAGAGGAGAGACCATAATTCACACACAGGCCTGCTCCATATGGGATCCGCCTGGGATGTGAACAACACGAGAGAACCCATTTTTTGTTTTATTTGACTGCTGCCATTTTATTACTCTCAAAGCACTTCCATGGCTGTGGTCGCCACTCGTCCTTCAGAGGACGAGGCTCACAGAGGAGGACCGCATGGCCCTTAGAGCTGAGGGACCCCGGGATCATCTGGCTCCATTCCTTCAAACTACTGGAGGGGGGACCTGGGAGCCAGAGAAGTGAAGCTATGGTTGGCCAAAGGCAGGGCTGGAGAGTGGCTGGAGAGAGGAAGGAGTTCACCCCTTATGCTGAGACCGAGCTGAAACTCAGAGGGTTTTGGGGAGCGACCCAAAGTACCACAGCCTGTAAAGCTGGGTTTCCTTCATGTTTCCTTCATGTTTCCCCTCCAAACTCCAGGGGTTTGCTTCCATCATCCAACCCCTAAACTCTAGAAGCTCCCTTGAGGTCCACACTCTGTACTGAGACCCTTCAAAGACTTTCCACGCACTTCAGGCCACCCAGAGAGCCAGTCACAGGGGTCACTAGGGCGGAGCGCTCTCACGGAATTTAGCAGGGTGTGGGGGACATCATTTCCTCTCTAGACAGCATGTCCCGGCGGGGGGCAGAGACTACCCCTGTGCCCCATACAGTGTCTGACACATGCTAGGTAGACAGTAAGAATTTGGAGACTGAATGGATGATATTGGGTCTCTCAAACCTTGGAGTTACAGTATTCACTAGCAAGCTATGAAATACATTCACTGAGTCTCTGGCAGCATTAAAAAAGAGAAAGGAACAGGGAATATCAGAGTGCGTTGTATTTAGTAAGGGTAGGCGCTGATTTGTGAACTGATGTAGAATACAATTTTTACTTTGAGTTATGATATAAAAAAAGAAAGTGGGGGAGTAGCTTACGGAGCCCAGAGCCTCTGGGCACCTTCTGGGAGGCCAGGCAGCTCTGGGGAGATGCCCCCCGGCATCATGAATTCTCCCCCGTCTCCTCAGGGTCCCTCTGCACAAGGGCAAATCGCTGAGGAAGGCCTTGAAAGAGCAAGGGCTGCTGGAGGACTTTCTGAAGGAACACCCATATGGCATCAGAAAGAAGTACTCCAACTTAGACAAGGAGCCCAACGAGCCCTTGGCCAATTTCTTGGACGTAAGTGGCTCTGCCCACCTTCCGGTAATGCTTCTCACAGAGTGTGATGGACGCCCCCTCCCGGACCCGGCCTGTTTCCCACTTCAAGGAATCATCGAGCCCTGTGGGCTATGGAGGCCATGTCCTTGCCCCTCAGTCAGCTCTGCGGTGGGCCAGCGGACCCGGCAAAGGCAGGGCTCTGAATGTCACCCCCGGAAGGGTCTGAGTTCAGGCAACCTGCAGAAAACATCCCTTGGGGGACCATAATCTGCTCCCAGGTGCACCCCCATGCCTTAGGAAACCCATGACTTCATCCGGGCTGGGCAGGGATGGGGTACTGGTACCCATGTGCCACCGCCTAGGACGTGACAGGTACGCCCCTTGTGCCCTCTTCCTTTCTGGAGCCTGTCTCTTCCTCATCTGTCATCTGTCACTGCAGTAAACAGCCTTTTGTTTCCAGGGCTCTCATTTCCTTATCTAGGTCATGCTGGCAACCCTCC